TGTTTGTCAGAATTATGAACATAAAGTCGACAAAGGTAATTAATTAGTCATAGTTAGCAGTTAGCCCTGTAACCGTCTCTACTTTCTCATAACTGTCACTCCAGCCCAGTATAGTTCACAATGCATATCACCCCGTGTACATACTAGCTAGTATTTTTATACCGGCTTCGCTTGTTCTTTGGTCATTTTCACAAAACTTGTAGCAGTACCAGGCATCTATCGTACTGATAATAATTTTAGTACTTGGCCTCTTCAGGAACTACGTTGGGGATAGATTAACCCTGTACGTGCTGTTGCCTGCCTTTTGAACTCGTTGGGAGTTAACCCATTGGACAGCATCCTACTCTACTACGGCCAGCTGACGAGCGGAGAAGTACCGGGTTGAGAATCGGACTGAACAAGCAGTATACAGGGGAGTGCAGCTACAGTGCGTTCGCTAATTTCCAGCCTCTAAACCACTCACGACCTTGATTATAATTTTTAAAGAAAGATAAAAACAAAAGAAACTTTCGCCTACCATTTAATTTTTTTTTGTTTTCTGTTTTAACCAAAATAATTAATAAATTAGTTTAAACTTCTTAATTTGTCGTTTTTATTTAATTCTATTTAAATAAAACGTGACAGTGCGCTCAATAGAGAATCAAGAGCGCTATACACCAAGAGAAATTAGAAGAAAACGCGTGAGATATGTATGGTGGACAAAACGCCTTTATATACTATGCGACATAGGTACTTCTTTCTAAATAGGTGATTTAAAAAGGTACGCTAAAGGGGTTATTTTGTATTTGTATACAAGATGCAATCGCTAAGTGTGCCCAGGCGATTATTCCGTAAATATAAGAGATATCAAAAACCTACCTCTAAAGTTCATTTTAACTTTTTCATTTAAGTGCGTGCATGTGTGGCTAAGGTATGTGACACACTTTACCTTGCGGAATGTATGCGCGGCGCTCCTGTAATAATGCATGGAAGAGAGCGAGGCAGGCATGTACACGCACGACTCGTGGGTCGTCTTCATATGACCCCCATGCAGATAAAGTGCCTGCTATGTTGTGTTTTACTCCTTCTGGTGCCTGTGAAATTCATAATAAAGGGCATAGAATTAATAACGGTAGAGGATGAATAGTTTAATTTATGCAATTTTAAAGCCGGCGCGATTGGGCATATACAGCTTACGTACAATAATAGACTGAATGATTAAAACACTACAAGTTGTCTTCATTTTGTATTCACGACTAATGCTAGTTAGATAGTATTTACCACAGAATAATAAATACAATAGAAGTGGTTGGAACATTAGGTCTCGAAAGACGCACTTGAGCTCTGTCCGCCATTTTCGCTTTGTATGGCATGGTTGTGTCATTCTTTCGCGCAAATTCTCTTAAATCGCAAAAAAATGCCTTACTGTGATATTTTGGAGTGCAAAAATTATAGCCACACCAAAAATATTACCCGTAATAGTATTTCATAGCATCGGTAAGTCTTATTTTAACAAAATTTTAATTTTCTGTTTATCGAATTGATTCAAATGTTAATCCTGATCGCAAGATGACAGCACGTTGAATAAAATTTCAATATACAATCAAAACGTCGTAACTTGCAATAAAGGCATTGAACTTTCAACTTTTCAGATATAGTGCCTGAGTAAATTTTAAATTATATTAATAATCCAGAATTTGTCACATATTTTAAATTAGAAACTGTGACCAATCATTATCAAGATTTCGTAGGTTTTATCATTTGTTTGTATGTGTTTTGGCGACACCGGTTCCGATAGTAATCGAGGCTTAAGGCACTTCCATTGTTTTTTTCTTCCGTGTTATTTAGTGTGTGACCATAAATGTGTTAACTTTACCTCTAGAATAACGTTGACACAAGCATTGGATATCAGTGGAGGGATATCTCGATCTTCTGACACTATCCAGAGGCGGAACTCGTCACTAAAATCTTGAGCCTAAGAGTAATAAAATATAATTGGTATTGGTTGATTGAATCTGAATTTTGTAAACGTAACATTTTTATTATTGTTATCAAGATTTATTATATTTCTTATTACTGTAAGCTATATATGTTTATTAAAAAGTAAATGTTATATTACGTTAGCATAATACACTAGAAAACATACAATGTGAAGTAGTCATCAATGATCGGAAATTGGGATGCTTTTATACTTGAAGCTCATTAATTCCTGTGAATTGTTGTCGAAATACGGAAGCGGCTTCTTAAAATATATATTTATTTTAATCCTGGGATGAGGTGGACTGCGATTTGTCAATTTTGCGCTGTAGACACGTCTCAATATTTGATATAGGCCACTATTCTAAAAAGCTATAGATATGAGAAAGTCAATTTAAATATTACATGCAATTACATAACATTTTAAACGTTTATTTTTATTAAATTTTATATTTAATAATTTCGTCAATACCGGTATTGCAGAATTTTTCTAAAACAAACAAAGCGCATTCCTTGTTAGCATGCAATCAAATTGTAGAATTAACTGTAAAGAAGTATCCGATTATCCAATCACTAGTGATTACAGTGTGCTGATTTTTCAAATCGGAATCGACCGTCTCGAAATCAGATGAGTTTCTGATTCCTACTATATCTTTCTAATTTGTGAGTTAAATCAAGTATTGTTCCGATTAGAAATGTCAAAGTTTCCGATAGGGAGAGGCAATCAAAATCAAGCTGCTGGTATGATGAAGCGTGTTTGAAATTATGCATGATCAATGTTCGTTTAATTGGGTGTACTTTAATTAAAACAAAAACATTTTTTAATAATACGAATGTAGACTCATACTTATTTCAACTGTACTATGAAAATAACACCTACAGCTCGTTGACTGAAAGTGGCAAGAAACGTTTGCAGTTCTTGTGTGAACGGCGAAGCGCCTACAATAAGCGCCAGCCAGCCGCCGCTACGAGACTTCTCCACGGCGGTCTCCCAAGCTAAGCGTCCTTCTTCAACGCCCACCTAGATTTGATTTTAAATAGAGAGTAGGGTAACTTTTGAAAACGGGAATAAACGCATTTAAACTATTTAGTAAGTATTTTCACACATACCAATTTTCCCGAAGTTTTGGCCAGGTTGCACTGTTGCATGCTGCAGATAACTCGGAACCGTATCTGCAGCATGGATACGGTTTGAAGTAATCTGCAGCATGGAATCCGATATTTGCAAAAACTCAATATAGTTTATCGCGATCGACTCCTTCCTAGAATATAGCTTAGGTACGGAACAAGGACATCGTTTGTGTTGTTTGTGGCCGTATTTAGAAAGATATAGCTAGGCTGGATGAAGATTCCACCGCCGAGATAGAGACGTAACACCGATCACCAGTCAGCCCGTGACCATGGCCAGTGCAAACTGGCCGGCAAATACCTATTAAATATTTTAAACGCGTTTATTTCCTTTTTCAAATATTAGTACAATGCAACAAACTAAGGGCGCGTTTATACGACACGAATTTTGCGCTCACCCCGCGTGGCCGCCGCGCGGTCGCCGAGTGGAGTCCGCGTAGACCAAATTCAAGCCAGACTCGCCCGCGTGACCGGGACGCTCATTTAAGTTAAAACGTAAAAGAGTATTTTGCCATGACAGCTTGACACACGAGATCGCTGCCAATTTAAGTATTGTTGCCTAATAAATAGAATTCAGATTCGCCATTAATGTACATGAAGGCGTGGTAACTGGGCGGGCGAAAAAATTTTCTCTTCGTGTAACTGGGCGCTTAGTGTATAAATAGTACGTATATTCACAAAGTGTAAAATATGGACAACAGACGACATGTAACATGTGTTACTTTATATAATATTCAAGTACTGTGAAGGTATTTTCAAAACATGTATTTATTATGCATATACCTCTTTTTCGCGATTTATTTGAAAATTTAATATATTAGGTTTTGTTATACACACGCCTGAGGGCTCTTCCGATCTTTTCTATAACACTTCTCATATAAGGCAAAATTTCGTCTTCATTCGATTGTCAAGCCCCTGAGGAAGATTTTTCACTTCCTGATACACGTAAAATGTAACATTCCCTTACAAGATGCTGGGGTTTATTAATATCAGTTTTTTCTTTATCACTTTTAAAGTATTAGTGGTGACAAGTATCACTATATTACCTGCATAAGCGTATGAGAATGAGCAGCAAGCACGTCTGTGGCATGCGCGCCAAGTACCAAAACAGGTCTTGGACCGCGCCCTCCGCGCGACGCTTTCGACCCGCCCCAGCGCGCCGCACGCTTTATTGCGTCGCCAGCTGACACTATGCCCGTGCCTATTACAATAATGCACGTGGTGAATGTTTAAACACATGGTGATATTTAACAATTGAAACACTAAATAAGCATATGTATTTTTGTCTATAGGGAAAGTCGTATGTTATGTTTTTTTATCCAATTAGTTCATAACGATTGGGTACCTTCAATACACCCTCCACCTTCCCATTATGGAATCATGGCCGATGCATTCCGTTTTCAGGGTTCTTATATAATAGTGCAGTTACATCCTATATGTACATCAATTTTTTTTTTATCAATTTTAGTTTACATCAATTACCTATTGGCCACATTTGTCTAAGATTAGCCGCTGTAGGACATCTGCATTTGGTAGCAGTAGAGTTCTTTATGAAAGAGTTCACCCAGAGAAGTATTGCCACCTTACCTATTTATGCCGCCTAGCAGTAATGTGAGCATTACTGCGGTTTTGAAGGATAAGGATGCTGGTGAAATTACAGCCACATGGAACTTGTCAACTTATGTCTCAGGGTGCCAGGCGCAGCGGCAGTGCCCCTCGTAGCTTTGTGATTTAAAGCTCTGAGTGGCACTGCAACTGTTATGGGCAGGCGTGTGTCTTGCCATCAGGCGCACGACTTGTTCGTCCTGTCACTGATATTAAAAAATAATCTGCTATTTCATTATGTATTTAGACGCTTCCGCCTATGTCTAGAGGTGCGCTATCTGCGATATGTAACACAGATAGCGGTGTGGTTTTACTAGTAATAGTAGAGAGAAAATGTTACTTGCGTATTTTTTTTCATGGAGTAATTAATTTAATGCGGCAAGTAAAATAAAAAAAAAATATTGCTGTGTAATCATATGGTCACGGGCATTTAAAGTTATCCTATGCCAACATTGACACAGCGCCACACTCAAAAGGAATAAATACCCAGAGCCATGAACAATTTAATAAAACCTACGTAGTGGTATGTAGCTCTTACACTGCTCAAGGCCCTTACTTATTGAACATACACCTAAATGGAATAGAAACTTACCTAGAATATCGTCAACGAACGCCACAATGGCTCTATACAAGCTATCAGGGCGCAATACGCTCACTGCAGCTATATTTTCAAATGCGCTGAGTTTCAATGGATTCAAAGAGTTAAAGTCTCCCGATTTGATAAATTCAGTCCATAACGTTTCGTTGGGTAGTGACAGTTTGTTGAAGAGTTCTTCACTTGCTGTCTACAATTATAAACAATACATCCAGGTATACAAAATCGGTAAATAAATTAAAGCTTTCTTATTCTCGGTGATGGAATTCGAGATCAAAATTCTATACGAACAACTGTTACTGTTAAGTGGCATCTCATAGACCACAAACGATTTTGTTTTCAGGTTTCTCTTGATATTAACAATAAATATGTCTATGTATTTTTTATTAAAAAGTTTCATAATAATTTTTGTTTTTTATACCTGCCCAATTATAGTAATGAAACGCTCTTTTATGTCTTCAAGGCATAAAAAGCATATGATCAAAAATAACAGCAACTCCGAAAATTGCGAACAGGATAAACGATTTTAGTACCCGAATCAGTTTTTCTGTTATTGTTATTAAATAACATAATTTATTTTAGTAATTTTTAGTGTCACCGTATTGTAGCGTATACTTGCAAAAAGAATATGAAAATATCAAAGTAGTATCATCAAACCTACCTCGAATTGAGCTAGTTTCTTGACAATGTTGTCCGGTATCCAAGGGTAAGATTTTTTGATCTCACTCGGAGTTCCTTGCTCATTAACTACCCCATAGTTTCCAATGAATATTTGCCATAGCTAAAACCGATACAAGGAATTGGTTAGATAATTTTATAATAATAATCATTATAACGCTGTGTACGTTATTCTCTCTATAGGGTCATAGCCCCGCACTAGGGAAACCCTGTGTCGCGGGTGCCATGGACACACACATAGACAACCGCAAATTACACCCAAAATCACAAGATAAATAAATGTAGGCCATAGAAATATTTCCCCAGATTCGAACCCGGGACCTCTGCGTAACAGACCAGCATTGTAACCGTTCGGCCACAGAGGCAGTTAAATATATAATAAAGCAAGGTTGGAAACTTAAACTAAATAATATTGAAGATATTCAATATTTTCTAAATGTACCCGTACCTTATCAGGAACCAGATGTTCATAAACTTGTTTCAGCAGATGTAACACAATGATATATTTATCTTTTTTGTGCAAGCCTAGAAGAACCCTCTCTATGATTCGTCTTGTTAAATATTTTACTACTTCATCATTATTTATATCTTTAGCATCCTGCAAAAAGGTTAAAAAATGTTTGTATCAAAATACGAAATAAAATTGTGTAATTATATAAAAAATACCGACATCGATTCACTTAATGAGTAGGATGACATTCATATTACCGTCGGTGCTACTCAATGCGAATACATTTTAAACACTCAAAGCGATTGATCCTGAAAGAACTTACCGCTCCTCTCTTTACAGCATCCACAAAAACATCCAATATAGTATCAACAGGCAAAGCGACTAACGGCCTATGCGCAGCTAAACTCTTGACCGCAAGCGCTAAAACCGCCGCGCGCGCAGCGCTGGGCTCATACGCTTCGCAAGCTGCTCGAGTCTCTCGCTCTATTCCTCGAGCCGCCTCAAGCGCGTCGGATATTACTGTACTAGTTGCACGAGTTTTGTTTAATGATGCTAATAGGTTCGCGTCGTGAAGGATATCGCTGTTTGTTGATAGATCTCTTAGAAGGTTTTCCTAAATCAAAACAAATTGAATATTTAAGAAAAGTCCATTTACGACTAGATTCTTGTCTATATTAGGACTGCTGGGTAATAGTACGGAGTTTATTCTGTGCTTAGCTCTTCTAAAGTTTTATGATACAGTAACAAGGTTGGTATTACGTTGTTGGCATGATTGCAAACAATCTGTTTAACCTTACATCATTATCGATTAACAGACCATATAATTGTTGAATTCATAGTTTATACCTGTAATTCATATTGTTGCTTCTGAAGAGAGGCTTTTTTCAGTTTCATCTCTTTAGACTTCTCGTTGACTTCTGGATTTTGCTGTTGCAACGCGTAATGTATTAGTTGATCTGTAAAGTGATTATATATAATCAAGGATTTTAGTGTATTCTTTAACATGACGCTCTATGGCCGTATATCAACGAGAGCTAGCAGCAGCTGCTTTGTAGCTGAGTTATAGATTAATTACGTGTATGTGCACATAAAGTGTGAACAGTGAAGATGTTTATAAAATATCATTCATTTAATAGAAGTTCTAAAACAATTGTAGAAACCAATTTGTCTTTCTATTTGTAAAAAATAAAACGAAAGATAAATAACTTAATGTGTGCTCACTCAGTTCTCACAGAGGGCCAGTCATATTCAGAGACATATTAAGTTTACATTTAATATTCGTGTACTAGTTTTTAGTAGTAGTTTTGTCAAATATTCGTCTTTAATTACTAATCGATTAGAGCCCTTTCAAAATTTTAACAAATACTTTCTTATGCTCACTCAATCCACACAATTTCAAAAGGAACGATTTTCTACAAAACAATTAAAAGAATTAAATTCCGTTTATGTCTGGATTTAGATAAAGTTCTAAATGATTTCGTAAAATATAAACGAAACCACTATGTGGGTTGTTTTGGAATAATAATTTTTTTAAAGGCTCATTCAGCCCTCATATTTCAGAAAAGTAAAAAACGTTAATAACTTTTAGTTTCTAAGTATTACAGAGACTAATAGTTAAATTTCAGTAGAATTTTTTACTAAATATCTATCATTTCAGATTTCGGGTATTTTGTTCAATTAAAAAGATACTCGTTTTTTATTATAATGTATAGACTTAGGGCACCACACGTTTTCAAAATACCAAACATATAACTTCAGGCATTATTTTTAGGTTCCGTTCCAAAGGACATACGGAGACTTATTGCTGTCACTCTGCTTTCCGTCCGTATGTCACCGGTCTGTAACTTCTAATCGGAATGTGATACAGACTCGAAATGTTGCACTATTACGAGTATGTAAGGTGTTGACCCAAAATCGAATATTATGTGTAGTAAGTAATGGCAAAAAGTGTAAATGTAATTATTTATAATACACTGCAGTGTTGCTCATTATTTCGTAACACACCCTTATTTTGTTATTGACATTTCAGATAGTATTGTACATATCATAAAAAAAACTAGCAGTTAATAAAAGGCGCGAAATTATAGTTACAATTCTTAAACGAATTAATTTTTAGTTTAATAAATTATATATCGCAATGTAACTTATTAAACTAAAAAGTAATCCGTTTCGCGATTCGTGTTTCTCAATTATTTGTAACCTTTTTAAACTGGTGGTTTTATAAAAACTAAATAATTATAATTGACTTAAATCCATATTTGTTCGCTCGATTTATATGTATGTATTGAATTTTATTCAGGCATATACTCGATTTATCGCATATATAGATTTCGCGTTATTTACCAGTAAGCCCATCAAGTCTCGCTGTAAAATGAAGCAACGAAATTCTGGCAGCATAGTGAGGTTCTAGTCTGTTGGGCAGAGTGACGTCACGACTGTAGAGCAACAGTCTTGTGGTCGGTGACGCCCCTCTGGCATTAGTCACCGGTAGACCGGAGAGAAGGGGCGACCACGCGTTGTGTATGCTGTCTACTTCTGAGATTACTAGAACTCTGCCTAATCTGCAAAAAAAAAATAACACTGAAAGGGATAAGTTAAGTTGTAGACTTCCCGCGGCTACGGGTCACGGAGTAAAAGTACTTTAAATACCTGGACGACAACCGGCGAGTACCTTCCGCTAATTGGCAAATCTTTTCACCAGGATGGCAAAATTCCCATGCACGGTTCAGCGTGGCGGCTACTTGTGGCGCGATCATAAATCATAGTTTATGCCATCGATATGACAAGAAGAAGTATTTTAAATACAGCACATAGAATATTTTACTCCATGAAGATATTATTTTGTTTTTAAAAGTAAGTAATAGGTAATAGTGCTTCAAAGACCTTTAAAAAGTTGCTTCACTCATTCGGGAATCAAACCCACTAAATGTGAAAGAAAAAAAACTGGGTTTTAGTATACCGATCGAAAGGGTCACATATAAGGATTAATTCCTTTTGTAATTAATGTAAAACTCATTTTTCTAAACTCAAATGTTTAATATTATCCTTTGATTATATGTTACTTATAAGGAATGTAATCCTAAGACTTTAATTATAATTCTCATATAATTAAACCAAAGGCACAATTACATATTATAGTAAAAGAGTATTATATATATATTCTATGTTCGAAATTTTAGAGTTGGGTTATCAGTAAAGCTACAATGTAATATCAAGATCAAGAGTATAAAGTATAAGCGGCATACTTATCATTATAATTCATGCCTTCGCATGGTATGGTAACAGATGGTCGTATTTGTAACGTAATTTCTTCTTATTTTTCTCTGTATTTAAATAAATGAATTTAGACTTACTTATCGTTTTCTAGGAACATTATATACACTAACCTTACTGCATATTGTACAGCGGTGTGTAGTTTCTCGCTGTGTTGAGAAACAAAGTCACTCTGTATACCTGACAGCGTGTTCTGTAGCCAACCGATGGCGTCTCCGTCAGGGTCTATGATCAATGGTGTGAAGCCACATTTCTGCGATTCTAGAATCTGAAAATAGATAATAAAAATTTCAATAATAGGGCAGGAGAAAGATTCTCGATTTACATCCGAAAAAAATAGTTTCATTTTTAAAGCAAAAACGAAAGCCTAACTCGATAGTAGAGTAATTCTATGTTACCACCAAGTATAATTTTTACAGTATTTTATCAAATACCTGATCTATCAAAATGGCGTTTTTGATAGCAGAGTTATCTAATGGTAAACCGTCCGCATCCCATTTGAGCTGTTTCTCTGTTGTAGATAGAAAATTGATAACTGAAAATGATGCGTCATCGAAACCTATCATAGCGCTCCATTTGTTTATGTACTGTCTGAAATTAAACATGAATTTAATGATCAAAAATAGCACAAGGGCCTCCGTAAACTCCTAACTTTCTTTCGGCACACAGTTCAGTGGAGTCCTTCATCAGTATGACGATACGCTACCTTTCGGTATCAACCTATAAATCAAGTGCATAGGCAAACTACATTGATTGCCTTCAAACTTCGTAGCAGTAGAGCTCCTTGATTTGTTTGTCCCGTCACTTGGTATTATAAAAAACTAACTAATCTGTCGGCGAACTACGCTTCGGGTTTGGTTTGCTGGGCCAACCAAACAGTCTGGTTGGTAGTGTATGCGCAGACCAGCGAACTATCGGCCGATTGCTAAATCAGACGCTCTTTTACGGCACATATTTGTCGAGTGCTTAGTCTGCCGATGCGCCCAATATCGTGATCCCGAGTCCTTTCCTCGCACAGACATATATCTACATAGACGCCGCAAGTGTATTTACTTCGCGTGCCCAAAGTAAGTGAAATTCACTTACTTGCCGCTGCTACACTTCAGAACACGCTCGACCGTTATCGTAGATCACCAGTCGAAAATGCGAAAAATGAATAATTGTGCCATAATAAGCAGAAAAGCGCCACAACTGTGGGCAAACGGGAAAACAGGAACGTTTCCTTCCACGGGCAAGTGATTTTGTAATCAGAAGATGCATAATTTATTTTAATAATGTCAGTACAGAGTACTAAAAAAACCGACCTCAAAAGTACGTGAAATTACGTCTCAATCAAATATCAAATATCCTCTAGTTCGCCACTGTACAGGACTTGACACTGGAGATAATAAAAATCGGTTCTCACTACTCAAAGTATCTTGAGAGAAAAACGCCTTGAATTGGAGAAATAGCAAACTCAACCATTAAAATAATTGCTCCTAAATAAAAATTAGGCGCTATTTATAAAATTTAATCTTCATGCGTGAACAGCCACCCTTAGAGGTGGATGATTTCTCCAAAATGAAATGGGACCACTATGGAAGTACCCCCTTTCCAACAAAAAAAGAATCATGAAAATCGGTTCACAAATACCGGAGTTATCGCGTAACATACATACAAAAAAAGAACATACAGTCGAATTGAGAACCTCCTCCTTTTTCGAAGTCGGTTAAAAACAATTATTTTGGTTTAGTATAAATTTCGAGAAAACAATTATCCAACAGAGTGTATGCCTCATGATTTGTAATACATTGCGGCTTGTATTTGGTGCGATATATTCGTGATCCTTTGTTAATACGTCATGAATATCGAACGAACGCACTTTTGTATAATGCATTCAATTTCGTGGTACGGCCGCTTGTACATTTCTCTGGTTAAATTTAACATTTAGCGATGTATACGTTAGGCAACACTGTTCGTGATTCTGATCGATTTTGAAAACAAAGGGACGAAAATTATTATGACATTTGCAATATAAAAATATTCTATAATTCTTTTGTTATAACGTTTAGTAACGTTTCGTTTTTTTTTTTCAGTTTTGTAGTATCTATTATCAGTAGTATCTGTAATTTGGATAATTTTTGCAGCACGTTGCCTCGAATGTCCGAATATAGTGAGTAAATAATTACATACGTCGCCGGGTATGTAGTACGAGTAATATAAAAAAATATATAATGCAAAGAATTAACAGTGCGCTGTCTTTACAAAAATCTGGAGTTGGTCATACGTATATGAGTTCGTTGCTTTCGAGGACGAAGGTGGTCTAGTTTATCCCACCTAAGATGCTATCCAAATATGCAGAGTAGCAGAGTTAGAAATCCGAGAAATAATAAACAAATCATAAAAATTTCACATGAGGCCGTCATTAAGTAAACCTCTTCTGATTAACAAGATTTTACCATATTTTGTCACATAACAGCAGTAACATTTTCATTTGTCTTGCCATTCATCAATTTGAGAAATTAACAACAGAAAATCATCTAGTAAAAATAATTAAGGCAGTCGCATGTTCATATATTGACGTGCGTTTTCATTATTTAATTTAATCGATAAGATCTTCTATTGCAAAAAGATGTTATATAATAAGCTCATTTTATTGGAAGGACAATAATTTTAATATTTGAAGTCGATTAAAAATTAAAGTCTTAATTTTTTTCAAGTAATCAACATTTTTAAAAGCAAGTAAAGTAAAGGACTTAACTATCTTATTCTAGTATTTTTCTACGATATTAATATTACGACTACTTGTAATCAACAAATACTTGAACAAAAAATATTCTATTTAGAATCCGTTAATTGCATGGAATAATAATAATAATAATAATAATAATCTTTTAGGCCTTGGGAGAGGCGAGAGTTTAAAATAAATACGATAATAATAATAATAATAATAATTCATTTATTCGCTTCAAATAGGGTAGGGTACATTACACATGTTGATGGTAAAAATTAAATCAGAACTTAAACCTATTCGGCCTTCTAAAATAAAAGCATGCAAATACAATAATAAAATAATACATTGGTGGATTGAGATTCGATTTTAAAACAATAATTAGGCAACAAATTGATAAATTTAAGATAATTGATTTAATTTGATATGTCAGAATCGTGTATGTCATAATTTAATAATAATAATATATATATATTTTTTTTTAATGATGGGAAAAATGTATGCATCAATTAATTATTCTTTATGATTCATGAATTCGTCAATAGAGTAAAACAAATGATCAAAGAGCCACATGCGCAATTCCTTTTTAAAATTAGTCAATGGTAGAGACTTAATGCGATCTGGTATACGATTAAAAATTTTTCCACACATTACATACGAGTTATTTAGAAAACGTTTTGTTTTGGGTATTGTATTTAGTACGACTTTATTGGGCTTCCTTAGGCTTCTGAATGTTACGTCCTTCGCTATTAAGAACTTCGATAGATTTCGTTTCACGAATATACCAACTTCGAAAATGTACAGGCATGGGAGGGGCAATACTCTTAGTGTTTTAAAGTGAGGACGACATGAGACATACGGTGCTACATTGCTTATGGCACGTATACATCGCTTTTGAGCAATAAAAACCTTCGCAAAATCTGTTCCGTTGCCCCAAATTACGATACCGTATCTGAGTACAGACTCAACATACGCAAAATAGGCAGTCCTGGCTGTGCATTTATTCGCTACTTTTGACAATTTGTAAAGAGCAAACGCAAACCTATTTATTTTAGCACATACTTTGTCCGTTTGATCCCTCCAATTCATCTTTTGGTCTATAATTAATCCTAGAAATGTCACATTGATTTCGTTTCGCAAGATTTGTCCTTTATAATCCATGTCAATTGTCTGTGTTCGTAAGTTATTAAAATTCATTATATTAGTTTTAGTTAAATTAATTTGAAGATTGTGGTTTTGTAGGTAGTCAATTAGTGATGTCATTGTTTTTTTCAATTCGGTTTTATGATATTCTAATGTTGAATTTATTGGAGAAGTGACAACCACTGAAATATCATCTGCGAAAAGAATTATTTCGTGTTCCGTGCTATCACATACGTCATTAATATATAATAGGAATAGCAGGGGACCAAGTATACTCCCTTGAGGAACTCCGTAATTATTACTTTTAAAGTGAGATTTATATATTTCGGTACAATTTTTTGTGTTTAGTTGTGTTATTTGTACGCATTGTGACCTATTTGTAAGGTAGGATTTTAACCAACTTAGTGCTGGACCTCGAACTCCGTTATGCTCTAATTTCGTCAATAATAAGTCGTGTGAAACGAAATCAAAAGCCCTAGACATGTCCAAAAATAGTCCCGTTGTGTACAACTTTCTATTTACATTTTGTAAAATCTCGTTAACTATGTGAAACGCTGCATGTGCTGTGGATTTGTTTTTTTGAAACCCATGTTGATTCTCGTGTATAATTTTAAATCGATTAAAGTAGGATAAAAGCTTGTGGTACATGACTTTTTCAAATATTTTTGATAATACTGGAATCAAAGTGATAGGTCTATAGTTAGTAATATCTGTAGTGTCTCCTTTTTTGTGTAATGGTTTTACGATTGAGAGTTTTAATTTCTCTGGAAAACGTCCAGTTTCTAAGGAGAGATTTACTAAAAAGGCAAGTACTCCGCCTATCTGATCTTTACATGCTATAAAAATGGAATACGCGTGTTTACGCGTATTCCGTTCAACCAATCGATTTAGAGCGAGCGGAAAGTTACCATCACTAAATAGTTCTTGTGACGTCATAGTGGGTACAAGTAATATGGCACGCTTGGTTTTCATACAAATTGCTCTACTTGCGGCGTCTATCTATATGTCTGTGATCCCTCGTGCTCTCACTAGAGCAAGTCACTCGAGAAGGCCACAGTGGGATTTTAGCTAGTAGAAGTAACCTCTCCGCTACAAAGCAACCGAACCCGACTTAACTATCGGCGGATAGAAAGTCTGCAGTTTGTGGGGGCCCTTATAGATGGAACTTTAATATTTTTTTAATATCGACATGTTAATTTATATAAAGTTGAACCGGTGTCAACGATATTATGTTACCTTGCTTGCGGCTCCGTGGCATCAGGTAAATAGACAATGTAAGCAGCTGCTAATAGAGATCTAAGATTTAATTCAACTATTTCTTTTGAGATGTTTTCCAACTGAAACAAACAATAATTTCATTACGTTATTTTGCATTACAGTACAGTTTTTATACATTTGTATGTGGACATACTCAGATTTAAACGGTACCGCTGCTTCGCACCGATTTCCTTGGAGATTTTATTTCTTAGAGGTACTTTGAAATACTGTTACTTACATCTTGTTCCCAAGCAGTATACTCATGAGCTAGTTGATCAAGCAAAGAACGCGCGGCCTGAATGGTCTTCGTAGCGTTGTTCAAACTGAGCTCAATCGCAGCTGCGTCTCTAGTATGCTGTCCTAGTTGTTCCTTTAGTGCTGCTACGCGTTCGTCTACAGTTGCTAAACCACTGGACAGTGCTGCTAGTTCCGATTCTGCTTGTCGCAGATTACTGCATAGAAAGTCAGTTATTAAAGTATTAGATACGAAAATAATAATACTTTTATGTTTATTGTAAACATACACATCCACACCACACAAAGTCCCCTAAACACAAAACACACACAACCATACACACCCAATGAAAATGGTGCAAAATTGGTGTTATTATTTCTCCCTCATACTTATGCTTGTATTCCTTTTATTAGTAAAATGTTTGGCATTATGACGTGTGTTAAGTATTCCGGTAGAAGACGTAGCGTCTGTCATATAGTTTTATTATAAAGCTAGTACGGGCGTTAACGTGCAACCTCATTTGAATCACAAAGTTCCTCGCGTAATGGGACGTAATGTTAAGTTACCATGCAATCAAATTTTTTTTTAATTAAAAATAAGTGCGCATTTGACTTCCATCTCACTTGATGGAAAGTGACTACGGAAGAAAGCAAACAATGGCCTTAAGCCTTAAGTAATCGATTACTATCATTACCGCTATCGCCAAAGCTCACACATTCATAATTTGAAACACTATTTTGCATTGCACCCTAAAGTAGAGAAAGAAGTTTGTACGATTTTTGAGGTTTTGCCCGAGATAATTGACACGACCATAACGTACAAAGCGTAAGTGCTGACTGAGCTCAAGTTAGCATATATTGTTCCGTAAAGCGTCGAAGAAGTTGGATCGTCGATATGGAGCATTCACACCTAAATAATGCCTTTTCACTCACACACTATATAGACTCAATAAAGATTTTAATTTATATTTATTATTGTTAGGAATCAATTGGTAGAGGTTTTTTTGGATTTACGTGAATAATCCCAAACAGGTATAGAACATTTTAAACATTTTAAATTGTCTCCGTGGCCGAATGGTTATCATGCTGGTCTGCCACGCAAGGGGTCTCGGATTCGATTCCCGGGTCGGGAGAAATTTTGTACGGCCTACATTTATTTATCTCGTGAGTTTGTATGCAAGTTGTGATTGTCTATGTGTGCGTTCTTTACGACTTTGTGCGTTAAGAAATATATAATTAACCTGGATTGGACGTAATGAAGAGTCAACTTGGTTGAGCATAGTATATGTAACCTTCTTACTTGTGTAACTGATGTTGCTGATGTTGCAAAGGCTGTACGCGAGCGAGAGCTTCAGCGTAAGCGAGATTAGCGCGAACCCAAGCGGCAAGTGGTGCGCATGCGGCACTCGCCCTCTTTGCCGTTGCTTGTTCGAAAGATGAACCGCGTTTCTCTAGTAAACGTTTAACTGATTGTATCGCTTCGGGGTTTATTTGACTCGCATCCAGGCATCTGAAAACGTAGCATGTAAATAACATTAACACTTGCGCATGTTCACCACAAATAAACTCAACTATTATCATTTCAAAAGTAAATTAAATAACCAATCTTTATTATTGTTGCTTTAGTGTAAGAACCTCAACTACGAATTTTACCATAGTTTATTTTTACTAATTTTGAAACAAAGGTTGTGAATGTCTTGGTTAAATACATTATCAAAATAATATAGCACCTGATAGGGGGTATAATTTAACAAATTAAAATGCTAACTACAAACATTATTGTGTTTACTATATTTTACACTACATTTTTATCTTCATCCTGAAAAATGACATAGAAATCTAACCCCAAGAAGACGTTGTGTGTGTTTACTAGTAATGTTATATATTTACCTGATATCTTCTTTAACGCCACGCTTAGACAGGAAGTTTTTCATTGAATGCCACGATGTGTCTGCAATACCCATAAGACGTAACACGCCTTCCAGTACGTCGCGAACGACATCTGGCGGTGCGCGTAGAGAACGGACCTATAAATATTATTTATTTAATTAAACGTGTTATATTGATGTAGTGACCGAACAAACTAGATCTGATCTCGAGGTATACCACGAAATATGAAGTAACAATCGAAGCTCGTGATTTGATATAAGTGTTTGTGGATATCTTACTCCGAAACCTCACATGACAGCTATCGAATTTTAACATTACGTTCATCGTAAAACTGACACGTGTAGCACGTATGAGCTTCGTTGCGAGCGCAGTTACGTAGTATCGTATTTCGTATTAGACCTGATACTTCGATCCGACTAGACTCGAACCAGTGGCTATCTTTCTGCCAACAGAGCTACGGATCAAGCCAGCAGATCGTACGAATGTGCCTATTGCGGATCTTTATAACAGCTTTTTTGGCGTAGTGTGAGAACTTATGAAAGTTTCTTCCTCTGCCAGGTACTTTTACATCTATTAAAAGACTGACAGAAATGTCGCTATATTAAAAGCAATATTTTATTTTTATTGAAAACCAGGACGTTTTTACTACCACGATATTCATCCACATTTTTGCGAAAATACTTGAATAAAACACAAATTTGTATAAACGTAATAACAAACTAGTGAAGTATTTTCACAAAAAAATAGATGCATATGATGGTAGTCAATAAAAATAACATACTGTATTTAATAGTAATAACGCACACACTTATTGCCCCACACGGGAATCGATAAAGGGTTATATTGCGGGTATCATGGACACACACATAGACAACCACAAATTAGACCTGAACTCACGAGAGAAATAAATGTAGGCCATACAAATATTTCTCCTGGCCCGAGAATCGAACTCAGGACCTCTGCGTGGGAGTCCAACATGGCACCGAGGCAGTTTAATTTGTAAATCTTAGACGTATATTACAGTAAGTGGACGACTACCATCAAAATATACAATCGGTTGCCAAGTTTACCTCGCTAAGAGATTCCGTTTTAATATCACCAACGGCAGCTCTGGCCGCAGCTATTACAGGCTCCACAGACGCTAACTCTGCTTCTATTTCTCTTTTCCTGGAACGTTAATGTTTCCGATATTAAACGTGAACATCTCTTATTTTCACAAAAATATATGATCATGGTTAGCAAAAACATCATGATATTCAATAAAATAAACAGTAAACTTCTCTATTGATATCATAAAGCTGAGATCAAATGTATATATCGCACCTGCTGAAACACATGCTTGACTGCAAAAAAATGTGAAAAATACTTAACAATGAAATTTAGAAGCAAAAACTGTGACACATCATGCATTCATTTGTCCATAGAGGGCGCAATTCTTATTAAAATAGTAGAACATTTAAAAATTCTTCAAATGTATCAGTAGCCTTAAAAATGAAACTTTTAATTCGTTCCACGTTTTTGCAAATAATTATAAATAAGATAACGACATCGGACCCAGTTTATTTTAGAGTGAGTCATTTGTAACATACCTAATCTGTAGTTTCTCATTCTCAACTTCAATATTCATCTTGAGTGCATGCATTTCTTCCTTCTTATCCGTAGTAGCCCTTACGGTGGCTCCGATTTGATCCAATGCCTGATTGGCTTTGGCTTGCTTATCAGATAACGCAGCTTCCTGCTGCGCTGCCTCGGTTTGTAAAGTTGCAACTTCACTACGAGCCTGACGTAGTGCTTCAACGCCCGCCTAGTCAACAATTATTTTTTAATTTATTTATTATGTTTTTTTTTCTCATTAGACGCTTTCAATCAAAAGTAAAAATTTTTTTTTTTTTATTGATCACTACTATAACACTGCCTAGTGTGTCATCACTACAGTAACAAACATATATCATATAAGATATATCAATTGTGTAAATATAGAAATAAATTATTACTATATAAATTATACTTATATAAGCAAAAAATTAAGAAATTTGAAAGATCTAATTTTTTTCTAACGACATAAGTAATCGTTTATTGCATAGTCACATGTTAATAATATTAAAATTACAGTACATGTGACACCCTGTAAGGGTGTTTGCAAAGAGAGTGGCGTTATACACATTTAAAAAATAAGATAAAAATTATTACACAGTACTATTTCCTAATTGATACCACGCATACAAAATGGAGTCTAGTAGGACTATATAATTTACACATTATGTTTCAACTCTATACTAATTGATATAATTTTAAAACTAAATACTAATTGAAATAATTTTACCTACATACATTTATACACAGAAACATACAATTATAATTTTCTATAATTATTTCATATTAAATCATTTAAAAAAGGTCATCAAAAATATCATTAAAGTATTCTGTTATATTGTAATAACTCCTATCAATTAAGAGAGATTTTAATTGTCTTTCAAAAGCCTTGGAATCCTGAGTACATTTTATGCTGTTCGGGAGATGGTTATATATTTTTATTAACATTGATTGGTGACCCGATGAATACAATTTCATTTTTGAAGGAGGTAATTTCAACTTGAACAGATTACGATTATTTCGTTTAACTGTATTTAACGGCGAATACAAGTCGGAGTGTTTTTTAGTGAATTTACAAGCTTCAAGTATGTATATGCAACATACCGTTAATATGTTAAATTTGCGAATATAGTTTTTACAAGATGTCATTTGGTCTATGTTTGCTAATATTCTTATGCACTTCTTTTGGAGAACAAAAACTTCTTGAACGTCCGTGCAGTTTCCCCAAAGGATGATCCCGTAGGAGAGTCTAGAGTGTGCATAAGCGTAGTAAGCTGCAAGTGCAGTTTTGTTATTCGTGAGTCGTTTTAATTTACTAAGGGCATATATACAGGATGATAATCTATTTGACAGTTTTAAAATATGCGGTTTCCAAGTAAGGTGCTTATCAATCTCTATACCCAGCATGGTGGCCGAGTCTACAGTTTCAATTTTTGTTAAATTCTATGAATAATTTATGTCTGTGCTTTTTGGTATGGTTTAAATTCGAGTAATTTTGTCTTTTTAAGGTATAATTGCAACTCATTTATGTCCAGCCATTTTGTAGTATTATCCAATGCGAGGTTCAGGTCTCTTATTAGCGCGTGGGTGTCTTTACAAGTCAATACTATGGAAATATCATCGGCAAACGAGACACAGAAATAACCCACATGTGGTGGAAGGTTATTTATATAGACCAGGAAGAGAATACAGCCCAACACACTTCCTTGTGGTATAGACCCTAATACTGGAGCTTGCTCAGATCTTATACGAGCAATTTTCTCCGTACTATAATCCGTGTTTTCTATTTCCACATATTGTGAACGATTTTCCAGGTATGAAAATAACCAGCGGTGCGCTATTCCTCTTATTCCCATTGCGTATAGCTTTTGTAGCAAAATTTATGATTTACCCATTGACTTACAAATAAATGGACGACGGGTCTAATACAAAAACCACGAAAAAAATGTCCCAAGTCAACCTATTCGAAATTTAAATTGTTATGTCATCGCAGTATCGCGCTGTCCGTAGAACAAATGAAGACTAAAGCGGAGTGTCGCGCTCTGTATACGATTTTAGCGCCTTACAAGTGCGGACACTTTTTAGCGCGGACCCGACGTCCATATAATTGTAAGTCAATGGATTTACCCTATCATATGCTTTGCTCATGAGCAAAGCATATGATAGGGTAAATCAAAATAAAATTGACATGTCAAGCAATAGGCCGACTGCATATTCTGTATTATTGATAGAATGTAGTATTTTCTGTATATATTTATATATTGCCAACGAGGTAGATCTGTTCTTTCGAAAAC